ACTAGGGAAGGGGCCATACTGGACCTGGTGTTGGAGAATGAGCCCGGCCAAGTGGTTAAAGTTTCAGTAGGGGATTACTTTGGGAATAGTGATCACAATTCCATAAGTTTTAGAATACTCATGGACAAAGACGAGAGTAGTCCTAAAGAAAGAGTGCTGAATTGGGGGAAGGCCAACTGTAGCAAAATTTGGCAGAAGCTGGGGAAGGTGGATTGGGAGCAGCTGTTTGAGGGTAAATCCACATTTGATATGTGGGAGGCTTTTAAAGAGAGGTTGATTAGAGTGCAGGACAGACATGTCCCTGTGAAAATGAGGGATAGAAAGGGCAAGATTAGGGAACCATGGATGACAGATGAAATTGTGAGACTAGTAAAGAGGAAAAAGGAAGCATGCATAAGGTCTTGGTGACTGAAAACAGACGAAGCTTTGGAAGAATATCAGGAAAGTAGGACCAATCTGAAACGAGGAATTAAGAAGGCTAAAAGGGGTCATGAAATATCTTTAGCAAACAGGGTTAAGGAAAATCCCAAAGCCTTTTATTGTGTGTAAGGAGCAACAGGGTAACTAGAGAAAGGGTTGGCCCACTCAAGGACAAAGGAGGGAAGCTATGCAAGGAGTCAGAGAAAATGAGTGAGATTCTTAATGAGTACTTTGTGTCGGTATTCACCGAGGAGAGGGACATGATGGATGTTGAGGTCAAGGATAGATGTTTGATTACTCTAGGTCAAGTCAGCATAAGGAGGGGGGAAGTGTTGGGTATTCTAAAAGGCATTAGGCTGGACAAGTCCCCAGGTCCGAATGGGATCTATCCCAGGTTACTGAGGGAAGTGAGACAGGAAATAGCTGGGGCCTTAACAGATATTTTTGCAGCATCCTTGAGCACGGGTGAGGTCCTGGAGGACTGGAGAATTGCTAATTATGTCCCCTTGTTTAAGAAGGATAGCAAGGTTAGTCCAGGTAATTATAGACCGGTGAGCCTGATGTCAGTGGTGGGGAAGCTGCTGGAGAAGATACTGAGGGATAGGATCTATTTACATTTGGAAGAAAATGGGCTTATTAGTGATAGGCAGCATGATTTTGTGCAGGGAAGGTCGTGTCTTACCAACTTGATGGAATTCTTTGAGGAAGTGACAAAGTTGATAGATGAGGGAAGGGCTGTAGATGTCATATACATGGACCTCAGTAAGGCGTTTGATAAGGTTCCCCATGGTAGGCTGATGGAGAAAGTGAAGTCGCATGGGGTCCAGTGTGTACTAACTAGATGGATAGAGAACTGGCTGGGCAACAGGAGACAGAGAGTTGTAGTGGAAGGGAGTTTCTCAAAATGGAGAACTGTGACCAACGGTGTTCCACAGGGATCCGTGTTGGGACCACTGTTGTTTGTGATATACATAAATGACCTGGAGGAAGGTAGAGATGGTCTGATTAGCAAGTTTGCAGATGACACTAAGATTGGTGGAGTAGCAGATAGTGAAGGGGACTGTCGGAGAATGCAGCAGAATATAGATAGATTGGAGAGTTGGGCAGAGAAATGGCAGATGGAGTTCAATCCAGGCAAATGCGAGGTGATGCATTTTGGAAGATCCAATTCAAGAGCGAACTACATGGAAAAGCCCTGGGGAAAATTGATGCACAGAGAAATCTGGGTGTTCAGGTCCATTGTACCCTGAAGGTGGCAACGCAGGTCAATAGAGTGGTCAAGAAGGCATACAGCATGCTTTCATTCATCGGACGGGGTATTGAGTACAAGAGTTGGCAGGTCATGTTACAGTTGCATAGGACTTTGGTTCGGCCACATTTGGAATACTGCGTACAGTTCTGGTCGCCACATTACCAAAAGGATGCGTAATGCTTTGGAGAGGGTGCAGAGGAGTTCACCAGGATGTTGCCTGGTATGGAGGGCACTGGCATGAAGAGAGGTTGAGTAGATTAGGATTATTTACATTAGAAAGACAGAGGTTGAGGGGGGACCTGATTGATGTCTACAAAATCATGAGGTCTTGACAAGGCGGATAGCAAGAAGCTTTTTCCCAGAGTGGGGGACTCAATTACCAGGGGTCACGATTCAAGGGGACAGGGGAAAAGTTTAAGGGAGATATGCGTGGAAAGTTCTGTACGCAGAGGGTGGTGGGTGCCTGGAACACGTTGCCAGCGGAGGTGGTAGAGGTGGGCACGATAGCGTCATTTAAGATGTATCTAGACAGATACATGAATGGGCAGGGAGCAGAAGGATACAGATCCTTGGAAAATAGGTGACAGGTTTAGATAGAGGATCTGGATCGGCACAGGCTTGGAGGGCTGAAAGGCCTGTTCCTGTGCTGTAATTTTCTTTGTTCTTTGTTTGTTCTTTGTTTGTTCTTTGTTTAAGGAGGGTAACTTGGATAATCCAGGAAATTACAGGCCTGTGAGCCTCATGTTGACAGTAGGGAAATTGTTGGGAAAGATTCTCAGGGACAAGATCTATGTATCTTTGGAAGCGATAGGGTTAGGGTTAGGGATTTTCTGAAGAAGGGCCTTCCTGCTCCTCTGATGCTGCTTGGCCTGCTGTGTTCATCCAGCTCTACACCTTTTTATCTTTGGAAGCAAATGGACACATTAGCAATAGACAGCATGGCTTTGTGCAGGCTAGGTTGTGCCTCACAAACTTGATCAAGTTTTTTAAGGAGGTGACAAAGATGATTGATGAGGGAAAAGCTGTTGATGTTGTCTACAAGGACTTCAGTAAAGCCTCTGACAAGGTCCCGCATGGCAAACTGGTACAAAAGGTGAAGTCACATGGCATCAGGATGAGCTGGCAAGATGGATACAGAACTGGCTTAATCATAGGAGACAGAGGGTAGTGGTGGAGGGATGCTTTTCAGAATGGATATTTATGAATAGTGGTGTTCCGCAGGGATCAGTGCTGAGACTAATGGTGTTTGTGATCTACATAAATGATTTGGAGGAAAACGTAGCTGGTCTAATTAGTAAGCTTGTGATTGATAAAAAGATTGGTGGAGGTGTGGATAGTGAGGAGGATTTCAGAGGAGACAGCAGGATACAGATCAATTGGAGACATGGGCAGACAAGTGGCAGATGTAGTTTAATGTGAACAAATGTGAGGTGATGTATTTTGGAATGGCAAGTATAGTGGAAATTATACAGTGAATGGCAGAAGCCTTCGGAGTATTGATATGCAGAGGAATCTAGTTGTGCAGGTCCACAGATCACTGAAGGTGGCAGTGCAGGTAGATAAGGTAGTAAAAAAGGCCTATGGTATGCTTGCCTTCATTGGAAGGGGCATTGAGTATAAAGATAGACAAGTTTGCTGCAGCTTTACAGAAATTTAGTTAGGCCACACTTGGAATATTGCATACAATTCTGGTCACCTCACTACCAGAAGGTTACAGATGTTTTGGAAAGCGTACTGAAAAGGTTTACCGGGATGTTGCTTAGTATGGGCGATTTTAGCTGTGACAAAAGTTTGGATAGACTGGGTTTGTTTTCACTGGAACGCAGGTGGTTGAAGGGTGAGATTGTGAATGGCATGGATAGTGTGGAAACAATTAGGCTATTTTCCCCAGGGTGGAGGGATCAATTACTAGGAGACACAGGTTCAAGGTGTGAGGTGTGAAGCTTAAAAGAGATTTGCAAGGCAGGTTTTTCACAGAAAGGATGGTAAGTGCCTGGTACATGCTGCCAGAGGTGATGGTGGAAGCACCTGGACAAATACATGAATAAGAAGGGAATGGAGGGCCAAAGGGCCTCTTCCTGTGCTGTATTGTTCTTTGTTCTTCAGGGGTTACATCTGAGATTATAAAATTAGGCCTGTTTTTCTAGAATTTAGTAGGTTAAGCAGTGATTTAATTGATGTCTTCGAGATAGACACAGGAAAAGACAGGGTCATTAAAGATAAATTACTTCCACTGTTTGAGGATTTTAGAAAAAGGGGCAAAGTCTGGAATTAGAGCCAGACTGTTTAGGAAAGATATTAAGAAGCACTTTTACACACAGATGGTAGATCAGTTATTAATTTTATTTCTTTTATTAAGCAAAGATATTAAGGGATATGGGCCACAGATAGATATGTTGACTTAGGCCACAGTTCAGCCGTGATCTCACTGAATGGTAGAACAGGCTCAAGGGCTTATTCCTGTTCCTATGTTAGATTGAATAAGTTTGCACTGTTCTCCTTAGTAGGATGAGCATAGATTTGACGGAAGTTTTCAAAATCATGAATGGGCTGCAGCGTAGAAAAACTGATCCCACTCATAAAAGGAAAAAGAACAAGAAGGCATAGATATAAACTGATGAGTAAATGAAGCAAGACTGATTCAGAAAAACCTTTTGCATATAGCAAGTTGTTAGGGTATAGAATGCATTGCTTGAAAATCTGGTGGAGACAGGTTAAATGGAAGCATTCAAGAGGGCATTGGATGACTATCTGGATAGAAATACTTTGGAAGTGAATTGGGTGGGGGGGGGAATACAAGCTGGTGATTAGCACTGGGGTAATAATGCTTATTTGAGGCTGCAACTAGAAAGGTAGTTGAAGAGGGATTTGTAAATGTAGTACACCTAGATTTCAATAAGGCAAACAAAGGTAATAACACAGGATAGAATGCATGGAATGTGGGGCACTCCATGGATTGTGGATTAGTTAATGGACAAGAAGCAGACAGTAGGCATAAACTGGGAATTTTCAAGTTGGAAGACAGTGAATTGTGTCAGTGCTGGGACCTCAGCTCTTTACAATCTAAATTAGTGATTTGGAAGTCAATCATGTTGACAGTATAAGAATAATTTAATCACAATGGTTCCCAATTAATAGGCTTAGAAGCTTGGTGAAATAACAGAAAATTCTGTAACTACATTTCTCCAAAAGTCAAGTGAAAGGAAAATTGTGCCTGAAGGCCTAGCAATCTGACAACATATTTAAAAGCAAATTTTGATTTATTGTACAGCTGTTGCTGTTCCTGTTCTTCATTCTATCACAAGATTAAATTATTGAGCATCTGGAGAGAACACGTGCTAGTTGAACTACTGAATTTCATTTATTAAGTAACCATATAAACAATATTAAAATTTGCACGTGACATAAAATTGAAGGGTACAGCTATCTTTGACAATTGTGCAAAACAAGAGCACAAGTTGGTTAAGCAGGAAGGTAGATAGTTGATAGGTGCAGTCCCAGTACATTCTGGAAGTAATAAGGAAATAAATACTGATGAAGAAAAGTACTGATTCCTTCTCATGGTGATATACAAGAGAAACTAAAAATACTCAAGACTGTAAAAGGAAATACAAAGATATAACTTTTAAGCATGCACAAGATCTTATTTATGCTGAAGTTGCAGTTCTGGGTGTCGCTTTGAGCGTGTCAACATTGGAAGCATTGGTAAAATGAGGTGCTTAGGTCAACTAAGATGTTGCTAGGGATGAAGAGTTCAAATTATCAAATTATGAAGTAATTGACAAGTTATTGGAAGGGGGAGGGTATGCCAAGAGGTGTCATGGCAGAGTTCTTTAAAGTCATGATGAGTTGTAAAATAAACATTATTCAATTGTTTCCGTTAGTCAGGATTGTAATAAAAGAAGTTAACACTAGCAAAGAACTATAAAAAAATTCCGAAGGGCAGTTAACTTGGAAGTTCTATACTTAAAACAATAGAGTAATAGAGTCAGAGGTCTACAAAACAGATAAAGGCCCTTCGGTCTATTGAATCTGCATCACCTAACTATTCTAATCACATTTTTCAGCACTTGTCCCATTGTGTTGTATGCCTTCACATCACAAGTATACATCTAAATACTCCTTTATTGTTATGAGTTCTAATGGGCAGAGCTACTAGACTGGGTCTGCAACAAGTGATGACAGAATTTTACTTGACCTCATTCTCATCAATCCGCCTTGCATAGTTTTTTTTTCTTTATTCATTCACAGGATGAGGGGCGTTGCTGGCCAGGCAACATTTATTGCCCATCCCTCATTGCCCAGAGAGCAGTTCAGAGTCAACCACATTGCTGTGGGTCTGGGAGTCACATGTAGGGCAGACCAGGCAAGGATGGCAGTTTCCTTCCCTAAAGGACATTAGTGAACTGGAGGGGTTTTTCCCAACAATTGACAATGGATTCACAGTCATCATTAGATTCTTAATTCCAGATATTTATTTAATTCAAATTCCACCATCTGCCACAGCAGGATTCGAACCCGGGTCCCCAGAACATTAACTGGGTCTCTGGATTAACAGTCCAGCAATAATACCACGAGGCCATCATCTCCCCTTGCCTTTGACAGCATTGATAGGAGTGATCACCACATAGTCCTTGTGGGGATGAAATCCTGCCCCCAACATTGCAGATGCCCTCCAACATGTTGTGTAGCACTAGCACCTTGCTAACTAGGACAGATTTAAACAGATCCAACAACCGCAAATTGAGCATCCTTGAAGGAGCAATAGATTTGTTCTCCACTGCATGACCCCACAAATTCCCCAGTTTTTCACTGTCATCAAGCCAGATGATAAATCCTGATTTATTAAATAGTGCAGGAATATAACATACCTAAAGTGAGAAGTCAGCTGGTGAAGCTACAACGCAGGACTACTTGCACATAAGCAGGAGCGGGATGGTGGCTCACTGGTTAGCAATTACTTCACAGTTCCCGGGACCCAGGTTCAATCCCAGCCTTGGGTTAATGTCTATGTGGAGTTTGCATGTTCTTCCTGTGTCTGTTTGGGTTTCCACCTTGGTGCTCCAGTTTCCTCCCACAGTCCAAAAGATGTACAGGTTGGGGAGATTGACCATTGTAAATTGGAGCATCTAGGGATGTTGAAGCTAAGTGGATTAGCCATGGCAATTGATGGGTTATGGGGATAGGGGGCTTAGTGTGGGTGGGATGCTCTTCAGAGAGTCTCGTCTGCTCTGTGGGGATTTTATTTAAGTAGAATTGTAAGATTGAAGCATTTGCAACCAACTTCAGCCAGATTTCGTGGGTGGATGATCCATCTTCATCTCATGAGTGTATTCAGCTATTTTGTGGTATCATGAAGGGCAAACTGAACTGACTGAAGACTAGCAACTGCAAAGGCTATGGCCCTGGCAACATTTCAACAATAATACTGAAGACTTATGCATCAGAATTAGCCCTACCCATAACCAAGCTGTTCCAGAGAGCTACAACAGTGGCATCTAGCCAGCAATGTGGAAATTGGCTCATGTTCATGCCACACAGAAATCAGATGATTACGAGTTTGGACAAGAAAGAATCTAACCATTTTCCTTCACATTCAATGAAGGGATTACTATTGCTGAAACCTCTTCTACGAGCATCTCGTAGAATCCCAACAGCCATTCGCCCCACTGAGTCCACACTGATCCTCCAACCAGCATCCTGCCCAGATCAATCCCTTTAACCTATCCCAACCCATGGTCTAACACATCCCTAACACTATGGGCAATTTAGCATGGCCAATCAACCTAACCTGCACATCTTTGGACTGTGGGAAGAAACCGGAGCACCCAGAGGAAACCCACGCAGATACAAAGAATGCACAAACTCCACAGACAGTCACCTGAGGGTAGAATTGAACGCAGGTCCCTGGCACTGCTGGTCAGAAGTGCTAATCACTGAGCCACCAGATTGACCAGAAACCGAACTGGATCAAATAACTACTGTAGCTAAAAGAGTAGATCAGAGGCTAGAAATTCTGCAGTAACTTAACTTTTTGACTCCTCAAAGCCACCTACATGGCATAAGTCAGAAGCGTGATGGAATACTCCCTGCTTGCTGCATGAGTGCAGCTACTACACTCAGGAAGCTTGACACCATCCAGGCCAAAGCAGCCTGCTTGGTTGGCAGCCTCAATAACTTATTTTCTCTACCACCAATTCACAATGGCAGCAGTATGTACAATCTACCCAAGATATACTGCAACAACACATAACAGCTCTTTTGACAGCAGTTTCCAAACCCAACATGTACTACTTAGAAGGATAAGACAACTGAAAACTACCACCTGCAAATTATCTTTCAAGCCACATGCCAAGTTGGCTTCTAATGATATCACCACTACCAGTACCCCGACACAAGGACAGCAGCTGTTGATGGTGATGGATAGGAGATGGTGAGGGATGTCAAATAAATATTAGCCTAGTCAATGATACCCACATCCTATGAACGTATAAAAAATACTCCCCATATCCTTTGTTACTAATTTTCATGCAGCTAGCATTTTAAAAGTACTGGACTCAGCCACAAGTCATTTAACAAAAGATGCAATAAATGCTGGGGTGGTAAATAGTGAGGTCGGTACCCTTAGATTACAGAGGGATAGGGACTGGCTGGTCACATGGGCTGATCAGTGGCAAATCGAATTCAACCCTGACTAGTGTGAATCAAAGCAGCTGGGCAGGACAAATGAGGCAAGGGATTATGTTATGAACGACAGGACCTTGAGAAGCACCGAATATCAAAGGGACCTTGGTGTGCATGTTCACGGGCCTTTTAAGCTAGTGGGACTAGTGGATAAAGTAGTTAAGAAGGCATGAGATACTTGCCTTTATTAGCCCAGGCATAGAGTTTAAGAGCAGGGAAGTGATGCTGGAACTGAATAAAACTTTGATTTAGCTGCAGCTAGAGAATTGTACACAGTTCTAGAATCCACGCTATTGTAGCACTTCACCTGACGAAGGAGCAGCGCTCTGAAAGCTTGTGATTTCAAATAAACCTGTTGGACTATAACCTGGTATCATGTCACTTCTGACCTATGCTATCTGAGGTATGCAGTTGCATTGGAGAGGGTGTAGAGGAGACTTATCAAGATGTTTTCTGGGCTAGAGGGCTTTATTCAAGAAGAAAGATTTGACTAGACTGGAATTGTTTTCTTTGGAGCATTGACAGCAATATAAAATCAGACAACTCAGTACAGACATAAGGACGTATTACTGGCTTTAAAGTCAAAAGAGAGCAGTTAATTAAGATGCAGGAATGACTAAATGTGACAACCTGCTGTAGCCAAACTGGACATGGAACCAGAGCACTGTAGGAGATAAACAAATTGTTCCCTCCACAATTTTGTACCAATTGAGGAGTCACATACTCATGACCACCAAGTGGTATGCTTAATGCAAGGCTCAAACTTGAAGCATAGGAAAGTTAACCTGGTTCAATCTGGATGATATACAGCTTGAACATGGAATGGTGTTCAGTTGCATTATCAAATTAAGCTCAGTTATAGCTTTAATGATGTAAGATCGAAGATTCTACTGAAATGATATAAATTAGCTTTGTTCTGTTATTGATTATCTAGTGTTATGAATGTGATAAACTTCAGATTAATTTTTTAAACATTAAATGGTGTGTCAAGGCCTTAAGATCCCCTGAAATATTAAAGTCTATGGTTGAATTGGTATTATTTACAGTATGTTTGTAAATAATCTATGACTAATAGAGTTACATCCCCTTTAGCTCTGTCCTGTTGATTTAACCATAAAATAAAACTATATCCCAGCAGTCATGATTTCTCTTCAATTAGGCCTATAGTTATGGTTGAACTATAATTAACATGGGCAGTTACTTAGCAGTATAGTCACAGCTCATTTAAAAAAAAAAAATACTGTAGTAAACCATGCTCATTTCCCGTCAACCTTTAAGGCTTTCCAGCATCTGCAAATAAGCTGCTCCATTTACAAAAATACTAACATTTTCGCAGCAAGTACCCAGCTTGTTATGGCACAGGCCAGCACCTTCAGACATTAAAATAAATAAATAAGTTAAATAGTAATTCTTCCCCATTTGACCTGAAATCATTATTTGCAACTGCTTGCAGCAGAGGAGGGTCAGACCCTTAAGCGAGGAAAGAGTGTGATAGTTCACACTGGGGTGTTCTAGCGTCAGAAACTGAGTAATAGTGGGAATTGATGAAAAGCAAACAAGCTTCCCACGAATCGGCTGAGATATGAGTCTTAAATGGATATGCACCTTGATCTAAGTAGCTCAAATTTCTTCCTAAAAGTAGATGTTAGTTACGTGCCTCTGAGTACTACACAGTCAAACAACATTACAAGGGCAGAGTGAATGAAAAGAAACAAAAAAGTGGTTGAGTGCAAAGTCCTAAGCAGTTTCTACAGTCAGGTTCCCCCTCTCTGGATCAGCATTCTCTAGACAGCAGATGTCTGCTCCCCTGCTGGTGCAGCCTTACTGGACAGACTACCTGAAACATTGTCCGAGTCCAGCAGCTCCACAATGCTGTACGGGGAACAATCCTCTAGACCAAGTTTCCCAGACAACCAGCCACAGAAACCTTTCTCCAAGTCTCGCACTGCTTGCCACCACTCACCAAATGACCAGGATATCTGTGTCACGGTTGTGTACACAGCAAGGGACACAGACATTGCTACAATTAGCAGTGGGTAAAAAATAATCAGAAAGGGGCAAATTGTAATCTTATGCCAGAAGGAACGTTCCTCATTGTAAACCAAGAAAATGTTATACCAGGTGATGGTCCCATAATAAAAGGACATGACAAAGGACAACACAAAGACCACTGGAGCACACAGTAGGCTCCATATGACAACATGAGGACCCCGATACAGCCCTACATCACATGCTTTTTTTGTGCCTTTTTCTTCAGGTTGTAGGGGCTCCTTTGACTTCGCTAGTTCCTGGAGTTCTTTCTCAGTTAACGTTACGTGGATGTCCACCATCTGCCCCTTCTTCTTGCCACGGGTGATTGTGCCAGTTAGTGTCACATATCTGCTGTCAGTAGGTACGCTCCAGCCACCTATCTCACAAACAATAGAAGATTTTATCAAGCTGAAATATAAATAGTTTCTTCACATTTCATTTGAGACTCAGGCAGTGATCACATGCAAGCTGACATTTTGCACAACATCCCTTCTTCAGTGACATTATATAACACGACTCAGAATATTACGAGAGAAGGGCCCATCAGAAACAGCAACACTGGATTATTCCATGACCATTCAGCCCATGATTTTTTTAAGCTTTTTCAACTTTATAATATTTAATTCCCAAATTCCTGCTCTCTCTCCAGGTCCTCCAGTATTCTTCATTCTGAGGTTCTGTGCTCCAGTTGAGCAGTTTTTCCCCTCGAACGTTGGAGACTGAAGAGTGACCTTATAGAGATTTATAAAATCATGAGGTACATGGATAGAGTGAATAGCCAAGGTCATTTTTCCAGGGTAGGGGAGTCCAAAACTAGAGAGCATAGGTTTAAGGTGAGAGAGGAAAGATTTAAAAGGGACCTGAGGGGAAACTTTTTCATACAGAGAGTGGTGCATGCATGGAATAAGCTGCCACACGAAGTGGAGGAGGCTGGTACAATTACAACATTTAAAAGGCATCTGGATGCGTACATTAATAAAAAGGGTTGAGAGGGATATCGGCCAAATGGTGGCAAATGGGACTAGATTAATTTAGGATACCTGGTCAGCATGGATGAGTTGGACCAAAGAGTCTGTTTCCATGCTGTACAACTCTTTGACTGTTCAGGGCTGGCAGGAAACATGACTCCAAATGAAAACTAATAGGCGGTTCTCTGTCCAAAAACAAGGCTCTTAAATGGTACGTTGCCTCCTGGTGCCAGGGTCAGGCATGTGGTTGCAAGGCAGTCTGAAATGGGCGAGTGAACAGCCAGTAGTCATAGCATATGTCTGTACCAATGACATGGGTTGAAAATAAAAGCTTCTGCAACAGGAATTCAGAGAAGCAGTCGTAGCTTAAAGAGGAAGACAATGAAGAATGCAATCCCCAGATTGCTTCTAGCGCTATGCCCGACTGAGTATTGGAATAGGAAGATAAGTCAGATGAGCACATGGCTAAAAGGATGGTAGAAGAGAGGGGGCTTTGGGTTGATGGATCATTTGGGAAGTTTTTGCGGCAGGTGGGACCCATACAAGATGGGCAGGTTGCACCTGAACTGGTAAAAGTCCAATATCCTTGTTGAGATGTTTGCTATTTTTTTTTATTATTCATTTGTGGGATGTGGGCATCGCTGGCTGGCCAGCATTTCTTGCCCATCCCTAGTTGCCCTCGAGAAGGTGGTGGTGAGCTGCCTACTTGAACCGCTGCATTCCTCCTGCTGTGGGTTCACCCACAATGTTATGAGGGAGGGAATTCCAGGTTTTTGACACAGCAACAGTGAAGGAGTGGCGATATACTTCCAAGTCAGGATGGTGAGTGACTTGGATGGGAACTTGGAGTTGATGGTGTTCCCTTATATCTGCTGCCCTTGTCCTTCTAGATGGAAGTGGTTGTGGGTTTGGAAGGTGCTGTCTGAGGATCTTTGATGAATTTCTGCAGTGCACCATGAAGATAGTACACCCTGCTGCTACTGAGCGTCGATGGTGGAGGGAGTGAATGCTTGTCGATATAGTGCCAATCAAGCAGGCTGCTTTGTCCTGGATGGTGTCAAGCTTCTTGAGTCTTGTTGGGGCTGCTCTCATTCAGGCAAATGGGGAGTATTTCATCACACTCCTGACTTGTGCCTTGTAGATGGTGGACAGGCTATGAGGAGTCAGGAGGTGAGTTACTTGCTGCAGTATTCCTAGCTTCGGGCCAGCTTTTGTAGCCACTCTGTTAATGTGGGGAGTCCAGTTGAGTTTCTGGTCAATGGTAACCCCCAGGATGTTGATAGTGGGGGATTCAGTGATGGTAACACCATTGAATGTCAAGGGGTGGTGGTTACATTGTCTCTTATTGGTGATGGTCATAGCATGGCATTTGTGTGGCGCGAATGTCACTTGCCAATGGTCAGCCCAAGCCTGGATATTGTCCAGATCTTGTTGCATGTGAACATGGACAGCTTCAGTGTCTGAGGAGTCACGAATGGTGCTGAACATAGTGCAATCATGGGTGAACATCCCCACTTCTGACTTTATGATGGAGGGAAGTCATTGATGAAGCAGCTAAAGATGGTTGGGCCTAGGACACTACCCTGAGGAACTCCTGCAGAGATTTCCTGGAGTTGGGATGATTGACCTTCCACATCTTCCTACGCGTCAGGTATGGCTCCAACCACCGGAGTGTTTGCCCCCTGATATCCATTGATTCCAGTTTTGCTAGGGCTCCTTGATGCCACACTCGGTCGAATGCAGCCTTGATATCAAGGGCTGTCACTCTCACCTCACCTCTGGAATTCAGCTCTTTTGTCCATGTTTGAACCAAGGCTGTAAAGAGATCAGGAGCTGAGTGGCCTTGGCGGAACCCAAACTGGGCGTCGCTGAGCAGGTGCTGCTTGATAGCACTGTTGACGACACCTTCCATCACTTTACTGATGATTGAGAGGAGACTGATGGGGCGATAATTGGCCGGGTTGGATTTGTCCTGCTTTTTGTGTACAGGAAATACTTGGGCAATTTTCCACATTGTCGGGTAGATACCAGTGTTGTAAATGTACTGGAACAGCTTGGCTAGGGCAGCGGCAGGTTCTGGAGCACAAGTCTTCAGGACTGTTGCCGGAATGTTGTCAGGTCCGGTAGCCTTTGCAGTATCCAGTGTTTCCAACTGTTTCTTGATATTACGTGGAGTGAATCGAATTAGCTGAAGACTGGTATCTGTAATGCTGGGGACCACTGGAGGAGACTGAGATGGATCATCCACTTGGCACCTCTGGCTGAAGATTGCTGCGAATACTTCAGCCTTACCTTTTGCACTGATGTGCTGGGCTCTTCCATCATTGAGGATGGGGATATTTGTGGAGCCTCCTCCTCCAGTGAGTTGTTTAATTGTCCACCACCATCCACGACTGGATGTGGCAGGACTGCAGAGCTTAGATCTGATCCGTTGGTTGTGGGATCGATTAGCTCTGTCTATCACTTGCTGCTTTCACCGTTTGCCGTGCAAGTAGTCCTGTTTGGTGGCTTCACCAGGTTGATACCTCATCTTTAGGTATGCCTGGTGCTGCTCCTGTAGAAAAGATTTTAAACTAATTTGGGAGGGGGTTAGGGCACAGAGTTGATTTAAAGTCAGGAGCAAGGCTCAGATATAGAAGGAATACTAGGTCAGTCCATCTGGCAGAGAATACATGGCCATGATAGGGGCGCATGGGAGGACTGGATAGTTAGACTGCATCTATTTTAATGCAAGGAGCCTGGCTGGTTAGGCAGAAGAACTTAGGGCTTTGATCAACATATGGGAATATATGTTGCAATCACTAAGACATGGCTGAAGGAAGGAGAGGACTGGCAGCTCAACATTCCAGAGTATAAAAGTTTCAGGTATAATGAGGGTGATATTAAAGAGGTGGGCACATTGTATTAATACAAATGAGGCCATTCGGGTATAGGTTAGAAATAAAGAAAAAGCATGATTACCCAGGACTCTGAAAAGAGGGAGATATAGGAACAGATATGGAGGCAAATGTTAGAGAGGCATGAGAGGAAGAGGGTTATAGTTATAGGGGATTTCAACTTTGTTAACTAACAAGTAACAGACGGATCACATAAATGCTGGCAATGACCATCTCCAATGAGAGATGAGCTAACCACAGTTCCTTGACATTCAATAATGTTACCATCGCTGAATCCCCCACTTTCAACATCCTTGGGGTTACCATTGACCAGAAACTCAACTTGACCAGTCACAAAAACACAGGTCTGAGGCTAGGAATACAACTGTGAGTAAATCACTTCCTGACTCCCCAAAGCCTATCCACTATCCGCAAGGCACTCGTCAGGAGTTTGATGGAAAACTCCCTTCTTGTCTGAATGGGTGCAGCTCCAACAACACTCAAGAAGCTTGACACCACCCAGAACAAAGCAGCCCGCTTGATTGGCACCATGTCCAAAAGCTTTCACTCCCTCCACCACTGACAGTCAGTAGCAGCAGTGTGTACTATCAACAAGATACACTGCAGAAATTCACTGAAGAGCGGTAGGCAGTACCTTCCAAACGATCACTTCCATTTAGAGTGACAAGGGCAGCAGATAGATGGCAACACCACAACCTGCAAGTTTCCCTCCAAGCCACTCACTATCTTGACCTGGAAATATATTGCTGTTCCTTCACTGTCGCTGGGTCAAATTTCTGGAACTTTCTCCCTAAAGGCATTTTGGGTCAACCTACAGCATATTGGCTACAGCAGTTCAAGAAGGCAGAACCATTACAACCTGCTCAGGGGCAAGTAAAAGCCATCCAGCAATGTCCACATCCCATGAGTGCACGAATTAAAAGAAGTCTGAGATCATCTTAGTTTGAAACCATTAGATGGGGTGGAATATTTAAAGTGCACCGGGAGAACTTTTATGCCAGTATGTAGAAGTCCTACTAGAGACAGGCAGTGCTAGACCTAATCCTGTAATAGGGTTAATCCTAATTCTAAGGAATGAAGCCAGTCAAGCAGTTGAAGTGTCAGTGGGCGAACATTTTAGGGGACAGTGACTACAACTCTAAGTATCAAAGTCATTATGGAAAGGCATAAGGATAGTGCAGATGCTCAAAGTCATTTGGAAAAGGATAAGGATAGTGCAGACATTAAGTTCCTAAATTGGGAAGGCCAATTTCAATATCATTAGATAGGATCTGGCAAACAGGCTTAGAACAGCTACTTGTAGGTGAGTCTACATTTGGAAAGTGTGAGCCTTTTAAAGTAGTATAGTGAGAATTCAAGGCTAGCATGTTCTTCTAAGAATGAAGGGCAAGGGCAGCAAGTCCAGGGAACACTGGATATCAACGGATAGAGAGTCTGATAAAGAAAAAGAAGGAAGCGTATGTTAGGTACACAGCATTATAAAGAAGGGAACCCTGCAGAAGTCTAGAGTGTCGGGTTTGCTTAAAAAGAATTTAGGACGGCAAAAAGGGGCCACAAAATCTCTTTGGCAGACTGGATTAAGGAAACCCCCAAGACATTTTATAAGTATATTAAGAGCAAGAGGATTACCGGGGGGAAATGTGAGCCTATTTGAGACCAAACGGGCAAACTATGCTTGAAAACAGAGGATGCAGGTGCAGTTAGAATCTATCTGTAGTACCTTCTACACTAGGAGGACACAGAAAGTTAGTCCGTTCCTCTGTGTTCTTGGCTGTGGTGTCTGGGTCACGCTGGTCTTCTTCCATCTTCTCGCCTCCTGTGCGATAGATAATAATTGACTCTGGTCTTGGCTCTTTCTTCTTTTTCTTCTTCCGCTCCATAGTAGCTTCACCTTCCTTTTCAAATATCCCAGTCACGGGCACAGCTTTGTGTGGCAAGCTTTGGTGGGTCCCATGAGCTGTTTGCTCCCCGCTGATGTTGTTTTGAGGCATCTTGGTGTAAACTTCAATTGACAAGTCACATTATAGACAAGGTATTAGTGCTTCCCATAATGATGTCACAACCTGGCTTGCACATGCCTTAGGCCTCCTGCGTTAAAACAGACAACCTATACAGGAATCACTGAGAACTGAAAAACAATAAGTGACAAACATACAAATAAGAAATCATAGCATCCTCACAGTATGGAAAGAGGCCATTTGGCCCATCAAGTCTGCTCCGACTCTCTAAAGAGCATCCCACCCAGATCCTTACCTAGTCCCGGTAACCTTGCATTTACTATAGTTAATCTACCTGGCCTACACATCTCTGGCCACTATGGACAATTTACTGTGGCCAATCCACCTTACCTGCACGTTTAGACCGTGGGAGGAAATCCATGCAGTCATGAGAATGTGCAAACTTCACGCAGACAGTTATCCTGGGCTGGAATTGAACCCAGGCTCCTGGCGCTGTGAGAAATTAATATTTCTTCATTTCCACCTTGCGCCAAGTAGTTGCGGGGTAGTCGAGGGGGAAGGAAAGGGAGTCAGGGGGAGCGGGGAGGAGAGGGAGATGGGGGAGCGGGGAGGAGAGGGGGAGAGGGAGGGATGGGGCGGGGGGAGAGAGAGGGAGGGGGGCAGGTGAGGGGGGGGGGGGGGGGGGGGGGGCGGCAAGGCGATCCCCGCCCCTCCTTCCCCCGATACCCCACCCCTCCTTCCCCCGATACCCCGCCCCTTCCCACCCAATCCCCGACCCACCTTCCCCAGCCCTTCCCCCGAACCCTACCCCATCTTCCCCCAATCCCCCCACCCCTTTCCCGACAACCCCTACCCCCACCTCCGCTCTGCTGATGCTGTAAATCTCCATCTCCCACTTCCCACTTCCCACCTTCCCCCCAATCCCTACCCCACCTCCCCCCTTTCCCCTGACACCCTCTACCCCACCTCCCTTCTGCAGATGCTGTAAATCAGAAACAAAAACAAAAATTGCTGGAAAAGGTCAGCAGGTCTGGCAGCATCTGTGAAGAGAAATCAGAATTAATGTTTCAGATCTGGTGACCCTTCCCATCTGTTTTTGCCCCTCCACTCCAGCCCCTCTTTCCTCCCTCCTGACCCCCTCCACTCTCTCCCATGGATCGCCACCCCCACTCCCCATTCCTCTCACCTTTGCCTCCTCCTCCCCCCAACCCCTCCTCTTAGAGTGGCAAGGTGGCTCAGCGATTAGCCCTGCTGCCTTACAGCACCAAGGTCCTGGGTTTGATTCCAAGCTCAGGCAACTGTCTGTGTGGAGTTAGCACATTCTCACTGTGTCTGTATGGGTTTTCTCCGTGTGCTTTGCTCTCCTGCCAGAGTCCCAAGATATGCAGGTTAGGTGGGTTGGCCATGCTAAATTAACCCATATATCCAGGGATGTGCAATCTAGGTGGGTTAGGCATGGGAAATGCAGGTTACCTGGATAGGTCTGGGTGGGATGCTCTTGGGAGGGTCAGTGTGGACTCGATGGGCCCAATCACCTACTTTCACACGTAGGGATTCTTTGACCAACTGCTCCCCTCCGCGTGCTCTTCTCATCTCGAGCCCCACCCCCACTCCCACTCATATTATCAGTCTCACAACCGAGAACAGATACTGCTCACGTTTTCGCTTGGTTTTACTTACCTTTCTCTCTCAGCCTCTAGCCCCTCCTAATGCAGCAATTCCGGATAAACGTTCAGTTCCGGGGTGGGCTGTCAAGACCGGGTCTTGTGAGGGGTAGTATTCGGCGGGGTAAGCCGCGGGCCTCTCCTTTACCAACATGGCGCCGCACGGCTTCCGTCGAGGATCACGTGATCGCACATATAGGAAGTGACGTGACGGCAGCTAGTTCGGGAAGATGTCGCGGGCGGGCAAGGTAAATTGTAAACTTAAGGTTTCTGCAACGAAAGGAAAGGATTCACCTGATCTCTCTCTTTCTCCATATTCATTGGTCTTTCTGCTCCTCCAGTGCCGTATCTTTTTGTTTATTCCTATTTATCTCTCTCACTTTCCCCAAGTCAGTTCCCGAAATGTTCCCGCTCAGTCTATCCATGTTTTCCTGCAGTTCAGTGTTCATCCTCGCATCACTGCACTGCCTAAATATTTATCGATTGTAATCTTAAAAAAAAATATTTTAAATGCCAGCCATTGATGTACGAACAGCAAGGGCCGAGTTCTAAGCCGTGGGGTGTAGTAATGATGTAAGAATCCAGAAGCACGGGATAATACTGTGGGACTGCTGCTGAAATGCCCCGATATTGGATGATGGAATTTAAATCCAACGAATTAAGTCCAACTAATAGACATGTAATTTAGGAGTAGATCTTTCGGCCCTTCAAACCTGCTCTGCTTTTCAGTATGATCAGGGATGACCTAATAAGCCACAACCTCGCAATCTTGCCTAATTGAAATAAATAGACTGCCTTCTATGTGGAGAATATATCTATTCTAGAAATGTTCAATGACCCTACCTCCACCAGAGAATAGTGAAGAGTCACAACCCTCTAAAAGAAAAAAAAAATCCTCTTCACTTCTGACTTGAATTTTTTTTTATTTAATCATTTTGTGGAATGTTGGCATGGCTGGTTGGCCAGCATTTATTGCCTGTCCCTAGATGCCCTTGAGCTGCATTCTTGAACTGCTGCCATCCACCTAAATAAAAACCGAAAGAACTGTGGATGCTGTAAATCAGGAACAAAAACAAAGTTGCTGGGAAAGCTCAGAAGGCCTGGTAACATCTGTGAAGGAAAAAAACAAGAGTTCATGTTTCAGGTCCGGTGACCCTTCCTCAGAACTCTGTTTTTTCTTTCACAAATGCTGCCAGACCTGCTGAACTTTTCCAGCAACTTTGTTTTTGTTGCTGCAGTCCACCTGTTGTGGGTTGACTCACAATGCCATTAGGGAGGGAATTCCATGAATTTTGACCAAGCGACAGTGAAGGAGCGTCGATATATTTCCAGGTCAGGATGGGGAGTGGCTTTGAAGGGAACTTACAGGGGGTGGTGTTCCTATGTATCTGCTGCCCTTGAACTGCTAGATGGAAAGTGGTCGTGGATTTCGAAATGATCTCCGAGGATCTTTGGTGAACTTCTGCAGTAGCAGCACTGTGTACTGAGTGTCGGTGGTGAAGGGAGTAGATGCTTGTGGATGTAGTGCCAATCAAGCAGGCTACTTTGTCTTGGATGGTGTGAAGCTTCTTGAATGTTGTTAGGAGATGAGATACTTGCCACCGTACTCCTAGCCTCTGGGCTGCTGTTGTAGCCACTGTGTTTATGTGGTGAGTCCAGTTGAGTTTCTGGTCAATGATAGCCCCCAGGATATTGATAGTGGAGGATTCAGACCTGGTAACACCATTGAATATCAAGGGGCAGGGGTTAGATTGTCCCTTATTGGTGATGGTTATAGCCTGGCATATGTCAGGCGAGAATGTTACTTGCCACTTGTCAGCCCAAGCCTGAGATATTGTCCAGATCTTGTTGCATTTGAACATGGACTCATTCAGTATCTGAGGAGTCACAAATGGTCCTGAACATTGTGCAATCATCAGGGAACATCCCCACTTCTGACCTTATGATGGAGGGAAGTTCATTGATGAAACAGCTGAAGACGGTTGGGCTTAGGACACTACCCTGAGGATCTCCTGCAGAGATGCCCTGGAGCTGAGATGACTAACTTCCAAAAACCACGACTGCCTTCTTATGTGTCAGGTATGACTCCAACCACCAGAAAGTTTGCCCCCTCATTCCCATTGAGTCCAGTTTTGCTAGGGCTTCTTGATGCCGTACTTGGTCGATTGCAGCCTTTGTCAAGGGCTGTCACTCTCATCTCATCTCACCTCTGGAATTCAGCTCTTTTGTCCATGCTTGAACCAAGGCTGTAATGAGATCAGGAGCTGAGTGGCCCTGGCAGAACCCAAACTTGGCATCACTCTTAGCACTGTCGATGACAACCTTCCATCACTTTACTAATGATCGAGAGTAGACTGATGGGGCAGTAATTGGCTGGCATTGATTTGTCCTGCTTTTTATGTACAGGACATAGCTGAGCAGTTTTCCACATTGTTGAGCAAATACCAGGTTTGTAACTGTACTGGAAGAGCTTGACTAGGGGAGCATCAGGTTCTGGAGCACACGTGTTCAGTACTGTTGCCGAATGTTGTCAGGGCCCATAGCCTTTGCAGTATCCGCTGTCACCAACCGTTTCTTGATATCACGTGGAATGAATGGAATTGGTTGAAGGCTGGTATGTGTAATGCTGGGGACCTCTGGAGGAGGTCAAGGTGGATCATCCACTCGGCGCTTCTGGCTGAAGGTTGCTGCAAAAGCTTCGGCCTTGTCTTTTGCACCGATGTACTGGGCTGCTCCAACATTGAGGATGGGGATATTTGTGGAGCCTCGTCCTCCAGTGAGTCGTTTAATAGTCCACCACCATTTATGACTGGATGTGGCAGGACTGCAGAGCTTAGATCTGATCCATTGGTTGTGGGGTCGGTTCGTTCTATCAATCACTTGTTGCTTATGCTGGTCGCATTCGTATAGTGCTTCAGGTATGCCTGGTGCTGCTTCTGGCATGCCCTCTTACCCTCTCAATTGAACCAGGATTGATCCCCTGGCTTGACGGTAATGGTTGAGTGGGGGATATGCCGGGCCATGAGGTTACCGATTGTGCTGGAATACAATTCTGCTGCTGTTGATGGCCCACAGCACCTCATGGATGCCCAGTCTTGAGTTGCTAGATCTGTTTGAAGTCTGTCCCATTTAGCATGGTGATAATGCCACACAACACAATGGAAATTATTCTCAATGTGAAGGCGAGACTTCGTCTCCACAAGTACTGTGCGGTGGTCGCTGTTACCGATACTGTCATGGACGGGTGCATCTGCAGCTGGCAGATTGGTGAGGATGAGTTCAAGTATGTTTTTCCCTCTTGTTGGTTCCCTCACCACCTGCCGCAGTCTCAGTCTAGCAGCTATGTCCTTTAGGACCCAACCAGCTCGATCAATAATACTGCTGCCGAGCCATTGTTGGTGGTGGACATTGAAATCCCCCCTCCTGAGTACTTTTTGTGCCCTTGCCATCCTCAGTACTTCCTCTAAGTGTTGTTCAACATGGAGGAGTACTAATTCACCAGCTGAGGGAGGTCGGTACATAGTAATCAGCAGGAGGTTTCCTTGCCCATGTTTAGCCTAAAATCTCGAGACTTCATGGAGTCTGGAGTCAGTGTTGAGGACCCCCATAGCAACTCCCTCTCTGCTATATACCACAGTGCTGCCACCTCTGCTGGGTCACTCCTGCCAATGTGACGGGATATATCCAGGGATGGTGATGGTGGTGTCTGCGACATAGTCATACTCATGGAATCATACCTTACAAACAATGTCAGGCTGCTGCTTGACTAGTCTGTGAGACAGCCTCCAGACGTTAGTAAGGAATAACTTGCAGGGCTGTTTCTGCCGTTGTCTTTTTTGATGCCTAGGTTGGATGCCCGATGATCCACCTGGTTTCATTTCTTTTACACTTTGTTGCGGTTGGTACAACTGACGGCTGGCTAGGCCATTTCAGAGAGCAAATGAGAGTCAACCACATTGCTGTTGATCTGGAGTCACATGTAGGCCAGACCAGGTGTGGATGGCAGATTTCCGACAATCGGCAATGATTTCATGGTCATCAGTAGAATCTTAAATCCAGATTTTTTTGATTGAATTCAAATTCCACCATCAGCCTTGGCGGGATTCGAACCTAGGTCCCCAGAACAATATCTGAGTTTCTGGATCAATAGACTGGCAATAATACCACGAGGCATTGCGTCCTCCAAATGAAAGTCCCCTTATTTTTAAAGTGCGTCCACTACATTGCCTGGGAGAATAATAGAGAAGTGAAGCTTCGCAACCTTTAAAAAGTACCAGGATGAGCACATGAAATGTCATAATATTCAAGTCTGTAGGACAAGTACCTGAAGTCATATTGATGCCACAGAAATACCTGCCTGTTCCCCTAGCTAATGAATTCCCATCACGATCATTCCTTATTTCTTCTTTCTTCCTCCTGTGCAGTCTTACAGTGTTAGGATATCAGGATAGTTAAAGGGAAACCAATAGATACTGTAAATACAGTTTTTCCCATATTTTTTAGTGAGATCTGAAATGATAAAAATAGTGTTTAAAACTAAGGATTTCGGAAGGCTTTGCTGCATTTTTAGAGTTATACAGCACAGAAACAGACCCTTTGGTCCAACTCATCCATGCCGACCACATAACCTGACTGGCACTGGAGGCAGTCCAGCGAAGGTTCACTAGGTTGATTTGTGCATGGAAGGATTTTCTTAGAAGAGGTTGAGTAGGTTAGGCCTCTGCTCATTGGAGTTTAGAAGAATGAGAGGTAACCTTACTGAAACATTCAAGATTCTTAAGGAGCTTGACAGGGTGGATGCTGAGATGTTGTTTCGCCTTAATGGAGGGTCTAGAACCAGTGAGCATAATACCAGAGTGAGAGGTTGGTCATTTAACGTAGCAATGAGAAGTCAGTCTGTGGAATTCTTTACGGCAGTGTGCTGTAGAGCTGGATCATTAAGTATGTTCAAAGCTGAGATAGATAGATTTTTAATCAGTAAGGGAATTGAGTGTCAAAAACAAAGTTGCTGGAGAAGCTCAGCAGGTCTGGCAGCATCTGTGAAGGAAAAAACAGAGTTAACGTTTCGGGTCCGGTGACCCTTCCTCAGAACT